GGCCGGATGAGAGGCTAATTACAGAGAGTGGAGTCCAATTTACGTAGAGCAAATCAGTCAGTTGAAATTTAGCTTTGGTATATATTCATTTATATTGTGCGCTTTCCTAATGCTTTATTAGAAATGTTAAATATTGACAGTGTTCATAACGTCTATATGACAGACTCGACCCATTGGCTTTGCGGCGAGATATTGCATCTCTGTGCAATTTCTACCGCATATATCAGGGAGTGGGGAGGGAGGGGAGTGTTCTGAGGAATTGTTCGGATTAATACCAGCTGCTGAGTTTTACCACCGTACCACCCGCCAGAAGCTAATATACTATTGATCATCTGGATGAATGGCGGTCCTCCACAGTGCGGTTTTCTAGAAATTTTTTGCCACGCACAACTACATTGTGGAATCACGTTCCAGCAATGACAACAACTTGCAATTATCCTTGTGTTGCGGGTGCTCATAGGCGGCGGTAATCACTTACCATCACGTTTGTCCCCTGTGTTACAAAAAAAAAGTTATATTTAACTTCTATACAGGTCTCCAATATTCTGTTGTCTGCATTTTTCTTCTTTCTTCTGACTGTAAACTGATAGACAAAGTAGTAAGATTTTTATGTAGTTGACCGGATTTAAACTAACTACCTCTTGCGTATATGACTAGACTACGACGCTATCACATCGTACATCCTTGACACGACTCCAACTTTTTCTTTAACTTGTTTGATATAGCTATGTCTTGGTCTTCCCCTTCCTCTTTTTCCATCTATTTTTCTTTCAATAATGTTATTAATTAGTTCGTCGTGTCGTATCAAATGCCCCAACATTTTTCCCCGCCTATTCTCAATAATATCTACGATCTGTCTCTTGTCTTTAATTCTCACAAGCACTTCTTCATTCCTTATTTTATCTTTCCAGCTAATTATTTCCATCCTTCTCCAACACCACATTTCAAAGGCTTCCAGTTTGTCTCTTTATATCTCACGTAATACTATGTGCATTATTTAAAACTATTTTCTTGATTTGATAAAAAGTGAAAAATACTGTTATTGGCAATCTAAAGCATTTTAAAGTATCCAATTATTTTTTAACTATTTTAATGCTGGCCGCAGTTGGCCTTTACAGCGTCACGTTAGGGGGCGAGTGCAGATGGCACTCCAAACCAAAGCAAGTACTTATGGAGCCTGCTAAAGACCTTCCTTCCTGACGGATACTGTCTGACGGTACCTCTAGGGGTTCAAATTCGATTCTGCCCATCGCAATTTCGATTCACGTTTGAATTGACGGTGGATCGATCGGATATACGAATTATGTATTATATTATATTATGCGTGTATAGTCCACACGCATAATGATTACGTTTTATGTTTTTGTTTTAGAACTCCAATGGTACAGTCAAATTGAAAAGAATCCATGGTACAGTCTCTCAATCCTTTTTGCATTCTGCAAAAAATATTTCCACATTTTGATATGGTCCTTCAATGAGATTAACTATATTAATGATGTGACCAAAATGATTGAGTATTAGACATAAACTTATCTTCAATTGACGAATATCAGTGTAGTTTTAGTTACCATGTAAAACTTTGTTGCGCAATATTATGTAATTTTTCTAATCTATGCTACAAACTCGTCGATCATACAATCACACATACAAGTGTTATATATATACGACTAGGTGAAGCCCTCGTCATTGTCCGCGTAGTATTTGTTATTACTTCCATTATGATTTTTCACCTTCTTCTTCTAGCTGTTCCGGCGAACTTTATTTTGCCATATCCATTAAAATTCTAATACAAAATGGAGGTTGATGGTAGAAGGGTGTAAATTTGAAGTTACATCTATTTTTAATGCTAAATCATAATAAATAAAAAAATATAAAATGATACTTTTCCTACAAAATAATATAAAGGGTAGGGTCATCCAATTTGCTTCCAAATTTGCAAATCTTTTATGTAATTGAAGTCATAAATACTTAAACAGTACTACGTATATCACGTTATCATTTGGCGCCCGAGATATCCAAACGTTGTCATTCCTGCGAACTAAGATATCATGCGTCTCATACAGTAATTACCTATCAATCAGGTAATTTCAGCCTTTAAACAAAACACAGTTTAAAAGGCAAGATGTTTAGTGGCTGAAATAGCTAGACAGAGGAAAACATTGATTACATTAAAATATACGTCGAATTGGTTAACAAAATCAACATTAAAGTGGGTGATGCTGCGGGTGACTATAGTAGAGAAACAAATAAATTTGTTATTTCAATCAGTAACGATCAAACAGACAAAGTTGATGAGACAACAAAACTTTTGCATTCGACTATACTTGCTATGTTGCCATGACTCTATAACTATTGCTATCACAGAATAGATCGGTTGTGTGCTTGCTATAAATATAGGTGAGCTAACAAATCACTGTTATTGTATTCAATATAATTAATCCATCATGAGTTTTTCAAGTAAAGTGGTGATAGTGACTGGTGCTAGTGCCGGCATTGGGGTATCCACCGCGGTGCTCTTTACTAAAGAAGGTGCTAATGTAGTAATAGTTGGCTGAAATGAGAGAAAACTGAAGAATGTAGCAGAGCAATGCAGTCGCAATGGTAACACTCCATTTGTCATCAAAGCCGATGTAAGTAATGATGACGATGCTAAAAGAATAGTCAATGAAACCATCGAGAAATTTGGTAAAATAGACGTTTTGGTTAACAACGCTGGATTGTTTCATGCTGGTTCTATAATAGAAAATACCATATTGGAAGCACACGATAAAGTGATGGCTGTGAATCTGCGTGCAGTAGTTAATCTTACAGCTATAGCTGCACCACACCTTATCAAGACTAAGGGTAATATTGTAAATGTCTCTAGTATGGCAGGAAAAACTAACACATTAGCAGGATTCACACCGTATAATGTCTCCAAAGCTGCATTAGATCATTTCACTCGCGGTGCTGCTCTAGAATTGGCTTCTTCGGGCGTAAGAGTGAACGGCGTCAGCCCAGGACCAGTGAAAACAGATTTTATAGAAAATAATGAAATGTCAGAAATAACATGGGAAGAATTAGCTCGAAAGGTACCTCTAAAAAGGGTTTCTGAACCGGAAGAGATTGCTGAAATTATTCTATATCTAGCAAGTGAGAAGGCAAAAGTTTACAGTGGTACAGGATCAGATTTCATTTCTGACAATGGCGGACTCTTACAGTTTACACAATAAATAAATTTAAGTTATAATGTTTTTTAATTCACCCATATCAATCAATCATACAATTATACAATAATAAATTCCGCTGTATAGATACTTATACAATGTAATTAAATAGGCTTTAAAAAAAAAGAAATTTACTTTAGTTTATTACCAGTTCTTCTCAATTAAACTGGACGGTAGAGAAAAATGTTATACAAAAACTTGACGTTTATAAGCGGCTAAAAGCTCATATATGAATAAATGATTTCTGTATTGATTTGATTTATTTTTATCATTTGTTAATCGCCAGGAAATGGTCTCTATAATAAAATCATCTTCAATTGATTGGTATCATATACTTTTTATCATAATTTGTTTGTAAAATATTTTGTCTAATCATTATGATAATTTTCATTTATACAACAATACCGACAAGTGTTATATATTCCATATAATAGAAATTGAATTGGTCGTTGTCTGTATACATGTAATATATGCGAGAAAAAATTTCATTGTAAAAAAATTGGTCCGTCTGTTTATTCGTACAAATCTCATAAACGGCTTAGCAGATACGGTTGCGATTTTCACTAATGTATTATGGTACACGTTACACAAAATATTTTGTTTGTCTTATGTCAGTATCAAGGAAGGCTTGTGACTGCGGAGCGCTATCCCAGACTATGGCCCATCTATTGACCAGTCCTTAGTGCCCAACATCCTGCACAAAGGAAGATCTAAAAATGTGATAGAATTAAAAAGAAATGCGCAAAAGTCGTCGCAACATTCTGAGGAAAATACATTTAGTTGCCACTGAAACGAAAGAAGAATTAGCTTTATAAACAAAATAGTTATATGGGTACAAAGTCGCGTTATCACCTAGTGGAATATTCTTTTTTGTATTGGAATAGCAATTTCTCATTACCTTGACAGGAATGCGCAGTCGTAAGAGGATCCTGCTCATCCATGGAGTTCCAGCACACAGACATTCTCAGTTGTTAAAAACGTAGTTATTGACCAGCTGAAAATGGCTGATTTCACAGCTGACAGCATTAGCCGATGCCACAGGATGGGGCGAGTGAATTCAGAGAAATCTCGTCCTATATATTATTATTTAATAATGTTGATTAATTATAAGAAATATGACATTCAAAGTTTGTAAAACTTTTACCCTTAAAGAAGAAGTAAAATAAAATATAAAATAATACCATCCAGATCATCTGGATGAATGGCGGTCTTCCACAGTGTGGTTTTGTAGAAACTTTTTGCCTCGCACAACCACATTGTGGAATCACCTTCCAGCAATATTATTTCCGAACCGATACGATATTGAAATCTTCAAGAAAAGAGCTTATTCCTTTTTAAAAAGGAAGTAGGCCGACAACGTACTTGCAATTCCCCTGGTGTTGCGGGTGCTCATGGGCGGCGGTAATCACTTACCATCCGGTGAGCTGCATGCTCGTTTGTCCCCTATGTTATAAAAAAAAACGGGATGATGATGATGACGATTGTATGGAAATTCATCATTTTCTAAGCCAGGACAATGAAATTTCTTCTTTGGGTTTTGGGTTACATTATTAAATATTATTTCTTTATTTAGTCATGACTATATTCCACGCAGACGAAGTCGCGAGCATAGTTAGTATTACAATAAATAGAACCCAGCAAGTATCAATGATGATCACGTAATAATAGAATAGATCAATAATAGAACAAAACTTTTGTTTTCGATTACCCTTAATATGATTCTTAATCACGCTTGTTATAAATACAGGTGTCTTATCAGATCATTGTTATTGTGTTTAGAATAATTAATCCGTCATGAGTTTTGCAAGTAAAGTGGTCATAGTAACTGGCGCTAGTTCCGGCATTGGAGCCGCTACAGCAGTGTTATTCACCAAAGAAAGCGCCGACGTAGTAATAGTTGGCAGGAATGAGAGCAAACTGAAGAATGTAGCAGATAAATGCGCACTCAGTGGTAACACTCCATTTGTCATCAACGCAGATGTAAGTAATGATGACGATGCAAAGAGAATAGTCAATGAAACCATCGACAAATTTGGTAAAATAGATGTTTTAGTTAACAACGCTGGATTATTTCACGCTGGTTCTATAATTGAAAATAATATATTGGAAGCATACGATAAAGTAATGGCTGTGAATCTGCGTGCAGTAGTACATCTTACAGCTGTAGCTGCACCTCATATTATCAAAACTAAGGGCAATATTGTGAATGTGTCCAGTAATGCAGGAAAAACCCATTCATTGCCAGAATTCATAGCATATAATGTCTCAAAAGCTGCATTAGATCATTTCACTCGCGGTGCTGCTCTAGAATTAGCTTCTTCGGGTGTAAGAGTAAACGGTGTCAGTCCAGGACCAGTGAAGACAGATTTTATAGAAAATAATGCTATGGCAGACGTATCCTGGGATAAAATGGCGCCATTGGTTCCTCTAAAAAGGGTATCTGAACCTGAAGAGATTGCTGAACTTATTCTATATCTAGCGAGTGAGAAAGCAAAAGGTGTTACAGGATCAGATTTCATTTGTGATAATGGTGGACTTTTATAGTGTTGAACAACGGAACTGATTTAAGTTATGAAGCTATTTAATTATATACATAGACATAAACATAATGTGTTTCTGTGTCTACATAGTAAAGTGAATCCTTACTAATGTTATAAATGGGAAAGTAACTATGTCTGTTTACACCGTGACGCCTAAACTACTGAACCGATGCAGTCTCAGTCCGATCAGTTTAAAATTGACAAAGTTTCATATAAACTTTCTTCCTATATTTTTTCCCTTTGGGGGTAGAATTAATCAAAATGCTTTCTCAGCGGATGCCTACGTCATAACATCTATAAAATTTGCCATGCAGGTAGATGTTATGACGTAGGCATCCGCTAAGAAAGGATTTTGATTAATTCTACCCCAAGGGGATAAAATAGAGGATGAAAGTTTGTATGAAACTTTGTCAATTTTAAATCGATCGGGCTGAGACTTTGCATGCATAAAGCTACTATAACGTAGGCATCCCCTAAGAAAGGATTTTGATAAATTCCACCCCAAGGGGATAAATTAACGCGAGCGAAGCCGCGGGGAAAAGCTAGTACTATATAAAATAGAGAGTGGACTGTATATTACAAAAAGAAAATAATTAATGGAAAAGGATGCAGAAATACGATTTCGACCTGGAAGAACGTCTTTCACACTCCAAACTCCCCAAAGTAGGCAATGTAACACCAAACTTACTCACCTTTGCTCAGGAACGTCCCGATGTGTAGTACTGTTTAGTGGCCACGCACTCTACAGTGTATATTTTCATAAAAACATGAAATCTATAATTTTCTTGTTTTATATAGTTAAAAATACGGAGCGTCCTTTTTATTACAGTTCTTATTTTTAAAATGTTTTTTATTCTATTCTAAATTCGAAATTTAAGTGGCCACTTGTTTTTATTTGTGGCCAGTACTACTATATAATATTATGTTATCTGTGGTATTACCAAGCGCCCTTTGCTCCAGTAAGCAAGCCGGTGATATAAACTGCTTAGACTAAGGAAGTTCAGAACACGGAACAGGTAGGTATTCAAAATTCAAAATTCAAAATATCTTTATTCATGTAGGTCTATTACAGACTGTTATGATATGTCAAATCTACCGTCAGTTCGGAATGATATCGAGATGAGAAGAACTGACAAGAAACTCAGTATGTTTTTAAGTTTGTCTATTAATATATTTATTTGATATCTACTGTACATTACCTATATTTTATCTGCTCATATATCTTTCCGGCTGTCTGTAGAGAGAGATTGATTTCAGCGATAAGGCTACGGATTATTATATAAGGGTTATTTTCATACTTTTGAAATGCGTAATATACAAAATATTACGCATTTCAAAAGTATTAGTTTAATTATTATTAAAAGATTCTTACAAGTGAGAAAATAATTAAGTTACCGACCGGAGTTGGCCTTCAGCCGCTTCCTAAGGTTTGGAGTACCATCTGCACGCGCCTTCTATCCTCCGGTGAAGCAGTTAAGGCCAGCTACGACGAACAGCATTAGAGTAGTCTGAAAAGAAACACCACTAAAATGGTGAAATCAAGGAAGCTGGGGTGGTTCAACAAAGCATGCCCGGATATGGTGGGAAGAGAATTGGTAGTAATGTGGACTGATGACCAAATAGCTAGCAAAATACCATGTCAGGTTGACCTCCCGCCTGGAAACCATCGTGATAAATTCGTGGTGAATTTATCAGGATGGGCTAACTGACCTGACCTTATTCTCTATCATCCTCCACTGGTGCCCCGCCAGTGTACATCGGTAGCGCAGGTGGGTGAACCATACTGTTGCGGGTGAGTAATTCTGTGTTGTTGGTCGAGACGATGTATATTACAGATGATAATAAACTGACCATATGTACATAGAAATAATGATCTTATACACTAAATAACAATAGAAAAATGTAAGGTAGGGTGACACAGTTTAGACACAGCAGTGCTTAGTAGACAATATTGAATTTGTCTTACTAGACATTATTAAACGCAATTATTATTTTGATGTATCTAGGTGACTGTGTCCCATACATACCATTATCATATATTTAAAAAAATGGCCGGGTAAGCAGCAAATGCTCGAGGCCCATACCCGGCGGCCAATTTTAATGACTCCTAAGACTACAATCAACCGCTAGCAACAGTGAACAACATCACGTCGTCATATGATAGGCCTGATACCAAAAATGTAAATAAACAGATCTCACAATCCCTAAGGTAAATTTACTGATAGATATGGACAACAATCTGGTGATAACATACATTTATTTTTAGGATAACAAACATTCAGGCAATATTCACAACACACGTGATTGTGTAAAATTTTGTCAAAACATCGTGATACAAACGCTAGCAACATTACAAGTACAAAAGTGTTTTAAATACAATTGCGAGTCGGCTAGTTCTCATTATAGAATAGAATAGAAAATCATTTATTCAAATAAACTTAATTTAAGCACTTTCTAATAGTCAACAATTTTTTTTAAATCTACCGCTTATTCGGAAAGCTGCGGCATCACAAGAAGAATAAGCAAAAAACTTGTGTGTTGCTCTTTTAAACAATCCTTCACATTTTACAAGTCGAAACGTGTGAATACAAACTACCAACCAGCACTAATTTCTTTAGGCTCAAATATAAAAACACAATAAGATTAAATCAGTCGTAGTGCTAAGAGCAGCACCCGTTAAGTCGTTAAGCACACAGCTATACACACAGACAGACTAAACATTATGCCATCATCAATTATTTAAAAAAGACTCGCGCCTGACTGATTTTATTATAGGACATATTATAACAAAACCAAATTTTGTTTATATTGTCACACTGTTTAAAAGCCCTGAAAGATGTTTTTTCTTCTATTTGAACATGTTACTTTTAAACGTGTTTTAAACGTGATTACATTGTTAACTGGGTCTTAACACGAATCATTTTGATGTTAAAATTTTATAGTACAGTACTCGTAGGTTGCACTAGCAGTCAACTCGTGACCACGGCTAGTAAAAAAATAGTAAAATTTTCATCTTCGTTTGAAATTACCACTCTGTCTATAACTTTTCTATCAATTTTAGTCAAAATTGAAATAAAATAGATTGGGTAAATTATTTATTTGCTTCCTCAGCACTCATGGAACAAAATAATTGTGGCAATGTTATTAATAAATGAGGAAACTTAAAACCAATATTAATTCTGAGTGACCTAATCTTGTAGATTGCTAAATGCGGTGTCATAAAGTTTTACATAATCTACAAGACTAACACAAAGACAAACTACATTACCAATTATACAAATAAGATATTTACCATAATAATATTATTGTGAGCTACCGATATTTCGATGCTGTTCATAAAGCGTAAAAAAGTGTTTATTTCAATCGATTTAATTCGATTGAACCATTTCAATAGAAACGTGGATTATATCCAATTAATACAGACTACCAAATAGCAGCAATTCACAAAAAATATACATTCTTGCTTAATTCTTAAACCTACACCCTGGTCACAAGGTTCGGAACTGCTCGGAGTTTCACTCTCTACCACAATGAACCCGGTATCCACACGGTGGCGGGTCCATCCAGGGCATATATAAAAGTATTACGTTATTTAAGTGAACAAAAATGCGCTTGAGTAACGTTCTCTTCTTTAAGGATGCATTGATTTTTTCTAATAACTTTACCATCACCTACGGCATGCAGGTAATGGTAAGAATAAGAGGACACAGTTTATAGGAAGTTGGGAGTGAATAAATGAATACATTGAGTAGAAAAGTAGGTACCTACATTGGTGCTATAGAGAGGATATCAGATCCAATAGAAACTTGGTAGGCTGAAGTGGCACCCGTCTATGGCTTTACTCTAGGGCCCAAATGAATACGAGCAAATATTTAAACATAACAAATAGTACAAGTAACTGAGTATGAATGTGGATGGATATAAAGGGAGGGGACGCCCTAAGAAAAGATGGATGGATTGTGTGAAAGATGATATGAATAAAAGAAGAGTGTTTAGATATGACGACCGATAGAGAGCAGTGGAAGAGAATGACATACTCCGCCGACCCCAAATAATGGGATAAAGGCAAGGCAATGATGAAATAATACAAGTAACTGATGGCGTAGGTTTTACGGTTATTATTATTACACTTTATAAAATTTCAATTACAACTGAAATATTGCCATATTTGTGGAAATCAGACTAGATTGACTTTTGTTATTATAATGAAAGCCTCAAGTCATTTCAATTTATAACATCAGTTCCTAAAACTTTTGTACTCGGCTACACTCAACGCCGCATTACTTATCACGATTGCTATATATAGAGGTGTGTTATCAATTTCTTGTTATTTGTTTATTAGAATCATTTCAACCATGAGTTTCTCTAATAAAGTGGTTATAGTGACCGGCGCTAGTTCGGGTATCGGCGCCGTTACAGCGGTGCAGTTCGCTAAAGAAGGTGCTAAGGTGGTGATAGTCGGCAGGAAAGAGAGTAAGTTGAAGAACGTGGCAGAGCAATGCGCCCGCAGTGGTAACAAGCCGCTTGTTGTGAAAGCTGACGTAAGTAACGATGACGAAGTTAAAAGAATCGTCACTGAAACCATCAACGAGTTTGGACAAATAGACGTTTTGATTAACAATGCTGGCATGGCAGTCTATGGTAACATTCTAAGCGGTAATATACTTGAAGCGTATGACAAAACATTGGCTGTGAATACGCGAGCTATTGTTCTTCTTACTAGCTTAGTTGTACCGCATCTTGTGAAAACTAAGGGAAATATTGTGAATATATCCAGTATTGCAGGGAAAAAAACAATAATGCCTGGATTCATACCATATGCAGTTTCTAAAGCTGCATTAGACCATTTCACTCGTGGTGCTGCTCTTGAGTTAGCTCCTTTAGGAGTGAGAGTGAATACAATGAGTCCTGGACCGGTGAGAACAGATTTTATGGCCAATAACCCAGGTAAAGCAGATATATCCTGGGATATTATGGGTGCCAGTCTTCCCCTAAAAAGGGTATCTGAGTCAGAAGAAATCGCTGAAATTATTCTATATTTAGCAAGTGAGAAGGCAAAAGGCGTCACAGGGTCAGATTTCATTTCTGATAACGGAGGTCTATTACGATTTACTGTGTAATAATAAATTAATTTCAACTACAGTATTGTTTCATTCACACAATATTTATATAATACTGACTACTGTTTTACCGTATCAATTAATATCGCTATTAAAAAATAAGGGTTGCTGATAGAAGGGTAGTATGTATTTAATAATTTAGGGTACTATGTATTTTTAATGCCACATTATCATCATCATCATCATCGCAGCCCGGAAGACGTCCACTGCTGGACATAGGCCTCCCCAAAGATCTCCACGACGATCGGTCCTGCGCTGCTCGCATCCAATGCCTTCCAGCGATCTTGACCAGATCGTCGGTCCACCTTGCTGGAGGCCTTCCCACGCTGCGTCTTCCGGTCCGTGGTCGCCACTCGAGGACTTTACTGCCCCAACGGCCATCTGTCCTACGAGCTATGTGCCACATTATAAAAAAATAAAATATATAATAAATGGTTTAAACAGACAGTTTGTAGTAGACACCGTGAAGCGGTGGAATTCGATCGTCTGCCACACTTTGGTATCTGCAGGAGCGATTACAACAAATAAGAAGGATACAAGCTGGATAGAGTCTTGTGCGATGTTCTGGTTCCCCCTTAATTCCAATGAGATGCTTCGAAGAGTATTCTCCTGGATTTATCTTGGTAATTCGGTAATTTCACGACTTGCGAGACGATAGACTGCGCGTACGTCAAGTGCATGCGTTCATCGCGCAAACCAACTTACTTTTGAAAATAAGAGAAAGCAGCAGCAGATTAAATATTAATATATATATAAATGGTAAAATTTATATGTTGACATTACAAACATTACAGAGATATTTTAAAGTGACATATTCTATAAAAATGTACAAACACCTAATTCTACGATGGCCAGCATTATATTTTCAACACTTACGATTGCATCCGCTCCAAACATTACGCGCGGTAAGCGAATCAAAAATCCACAATTTATGATTGGGACGGTACATATAAACATAAAATGTTAGGGGTGGACAAAGCAACATAGTACAAAAGAGTTTTAATACAGTCGCGAATCGGGTAGTTGCCATTATAGTGTTACATACACAGACAGACTAGACAAATAGGAGGAAACATTATGCTATCATCATCTATACATAAATAAAAGTAGCCTAAGTTACTGCTTATTACATCAGCTATCTGGCAAAAAAAGTCCCGTCAAAATCGGTCCAGCCATTTCAGAGATTAGCCTGAACAAACAAACCGACCGACAGACAGACAAAAATGGTAAAAAGATTTATTTTGGTGTATGTACACACCCGGAACCTGATTGGAGGTCCCTTTCTGCCACATGATGGATCCGGTTTACGCACGGTGAATCCACGGGATGTTAAAAAATTCGTCTCTCTCAGTAGACTTGGTAATAAAATGTTTTAACTTGAATTATATGGTGCTGTGTAATTGCCAAGTCATCGCAATTATAATAGAAATAATGATGTCTAATATCGATATTATAAATGTTTATAGGTATTATTATATATAATTAAATCAATTGTCTTCTATAGAATTATAAATAATTATTATTATAAAATAAATTATTATTTTTTAAAAAACTTAATACAAGCATTTGAATAGTCACCAATTATTTGAATTATATGGTGCTGTGTAATTCGGAATGCAGACTTATCGCAAGAAGAATGAGCAATAACTTGTGTGTTTCTTGTATCGATGAATAATAAGATGTTGCTGGTATTATTATATATAATTAATGATGATGATAAACTGACAATGTGTACATAGAAATAATGATCTTATATATAAAAAAAGTAGGAAAATTTTTGACACAGTTTAGATACATACAGTGCCTATTTGAATATATTGAATTTGTCTTACTAGACATTATTAAATGCATTTATTATTTTAAGAATATCAAGTGACTGTGTGTGTTTATCTTTTAAATAAATGTCGTTTTAAGTAGATTTACATTAACAAGGATTAGGCATGCGACAATCAATATAGTAACCGCTACACACTTAATTTCTGTTCGATCAGATAACATTGTTAACGCTACGAATTTTAAGTTAGTTATTATCTACAAAAACATTTTTATCATTTATAAATTCTTCATTTTTATAATTAGCGTTTTTACAAAGATATGAGATTCTATAACTGCACTCAAGAACTCGTTTCAGAGATGTGCTATGAGAATTGTCGATGATTCCGATCTCTCGGGTGGTATCGAACTACTAGTCTTGAGGTAAGACTTCGTATCGCTTGTTTGTTCTACATACCATGGACTCTGTTCTGAAGAACTGTTCGATATAGTCCATAAGGCTATCTTTTATCATCGTACCGCTCGACATCGACAGGGAATTCATCCCCACACACTGGAATTTAAGTCCCTGACAGTGCGGTTTCAGAGGAACTTCCGCTAGCTTATTTAAATCGTGGAATGATCTCCCTCCGTGAATACAATATAGGGTTTTTCAAGAACATAAAGGTTTTTGGAATCGAAAGATCGATCGGGGGTTTTTTGATGGGATTAAAACTAATACGGTCTATTTTGCATACGCAATCTTCTAGGAATGGGGAAAAAATATATATAACTAATGACAATTTTGCATAAGGATAAATATATTATCGGCAAATATTTCTTCCATATTACTGAAGAATTCTGCTTAAATATATTCAAATTCAAATTTAAATTCAGAAATCATTTATTCATGTAGAACATTTTAGCCGCTTATAAACGTCAAGTTTTTTATATTAAATTTTAATTTTGTTCCCTACCGTCCAGTTTGGTATATAGATCCAATTGAGAAGAACTGGCAAGAAACTCAATTGAATTACTTTTTTTTAAAGGCCACTTTATTTACAATGTATATTTATATAGGTGTCTATGTCTAACATTAAATGAAAATCCCGTGCATGAACAACCATTGCCATGCACGCTCGTCATACAAGTAATTCATAATCGTCATTTAAAATTGTTCATATTCATACTGTCACCACACGCTGGTAATTGTAATGATAAAAGTACATAAGCTATAGCAAGTTGGGAGTGAATAAATGAATACATAGAGTGGAAAAATAATAATAAAATAACCAACAGAAGTTGTGGGATTGTGCATAACAAAACAAATATTCACAAAAAAAGATCTTAGTATAGATATGCTAAAAAAGGTGTCCTTATCGTTCAACTCAATCTCTTATGGACAACCTTGGAGATAGAAGTTTTGGGTAATGGAAAGGTAGATGGCGCACTATAAAAATAGAATTAGATAATGTATGAATAATAAATATATATACACATACAAATAACTAAAGGTATTAAAATATACCTATCTAAATAGATAAAATAATGTACACATATATAAATGTATACATGTATAACAAAAGAAATCAATACAAAAAGATTTTTAGTCGGAGGCAAAGTGACAGCGTACTAGGTTATTGCAAATAGAATGGGATTGAGCAGATTTAATAGGAAGAGCATATTTATTAGATAGTGGCAAGGAGTTTAAAAGATGCATACCCTGTACAATAGGTAGCAATACTGCAGTTATAGAGAGGATCTACTACAAGGTTGGTGATAGGGCCCGAATAAATACGAGCAATTATTTAAACATAGCAAACAATACAAGCAACAGATAACGTCGGTCTAACACTTACTATAATTATACTTTCTAAAATAACAATATTTGATAATATTCCTATATGTAAGAATAACTTATTGCGATACTTGTGGAAATCAAACTAGAAAGAAAAACTAGTTTCACTTTTGTCATGATATACAAAACGTCAAGTCATTCCACTTTGCAAAATCTGTTCCTAAAACTTTTGTACTCGACTACACTCAACGTAGTATTACTTATCATGATTGCTATGTGTATATATATAGGTGTGCTATAAAATTGTTGTTATTTGTTTAGTAAAATCAATCCAACAATGAGTTTCTCAAATAAAGTCGTTATAGTGACTGGCGCTAGTTCCGGTATCGGCGCCGCTACAGCGGTGCAGTTCGCTAAAGAAGGTGCTAAGGTGGTGATAGTTGGCAGGAATGAGAGTAAGTTGAAGAACGTGGCAGAGCAATGTGCCCGCAGTGGTAACAAGCCGCTTGTTGTGAAAGCTGACGTAAGTAACGATGACGAAGTTAAAAGAATCGTTACTGAAACCATCAACGAGTTTGGACAAATAGACGTTTTGGTTAACAACGCTGGCATGGCTTTCTATGGTAACATTCTAAGCGGTGATATACTTCAAGCGTATGATAAGACTTTGGCTGTGAATATGCGAGCTGTTGTTCTTCTTACCAGCTTAGTAGCTCCGCATCTTGTCAAAACTAAGGGAAATATTGTGAATATATCCAGTATTGCAGGGAAAAAGGCAACAATGAGTGGATTCATACCATATGAAGTTTCTAAAGCTGCATTAGATCACTTCACTCGTGGTGCTGCTCTTGAGCTGGCTCCTTCAGGAGTGAGAGTGAATACCGTGAGTCCTGGACCAGTGAGAACTGATTTTATAGACAATAACACAGGCAAATCAGAAATATCCTGGGATGCTATGGGTGCCATTGTTCCCCTAAAAAGGGTATCTGATCCTATAGAAATTGCTGAAATTATTTTATATCTAGCAAGCGAGAAGGCAAAAGGTGTAACAGGATCGGATTTCGTTTCAGATAACGGAGGTCTATTATAATTTAATGTGTAGTAATAAATTAATTAAAATTACGATGTTGTTTTATTCACAGTATTTAGATTATAATGGCTGCCCCTTCAAACGTTTATTTGCTATATAATATAAAATGAATTCAAAATCAATTTTTAGGGTTGTAGTTTTAATGCCACATTTTGAAAATAAAAAAATATCTAAACAATAATAATAAAATATTATAGGTGGACAATCATTGTGACTTAGAGGTATGAAAAATAGATAGTAGCCGATTCGCAGACCTACTGAATGTGCATATAAAATTTCATAAAATCGGTCAAGGCATTTCGGAGGAGTATGGTAACTATAAATGTGACACGAAAATTTTATGTATATGTAAGATTATCAAACGTGATTGTGTACGATTTTGTCTAATCATCGTGATATAAACGGTAGCAACATAGCACAAAAGTGTTTGAATACAGTTGCTAGTCGGCTAGTTCCCGAGATATTGTTACACACACAGACAAACTAGACAGATAGGTAGAAATTTAAACCATCATCGTTTATTAAAAATGACACTCATTTGATTGAATTTATTATTGCTATATATATGAATATATTCGAAGATATGTTTATATAGTTAAAAGCTATTGTCAATTTCCCTATTACATAGTAACCTCCGCTACATGAAATACTACTAATTATCAGAACATATTCACTGTATAAAATGACGATGATAACGGAATTACACATCTTTGTAACAATAAATTTTCAAAAACTAAATTCATACCAAATTTTCATCGTTTTAAGAAAATAGGTTATTGTACACGTTATTGTGCATAAAAAATAAATATTTACAAAAAAAGAACTTAATATAAAAGATATGCCAATAAAAGTAGACTAAACTATCCCTCAAAGCAATCTCTTACAGACAACCTGGGAGATAGAAGTTTTGAATAAAGGAAAAGTAGATGGCGCAATATAAAATACAATTAGATAATATATGAATAATAAATATACACATACTAAAGGTATTAAGTATAAAACTGAAGGTAGGCACACATAAATAAAATATAAATACATGTATAATAAAACAAAACAATAAAGAAAGATTTTTAGTTGGAGAGAAAATGAGATCGTACTAGATTTTTGAAGATACAATGGGATTGAGCAGATCTAATAGAAAGTGGCAAGAAATTGCAAAGACGAATAGCCTGTACAATAAGTATGTACATTGTAGTTATGGAGAGCATATCAGATATACTTCAAGGTAGGATAGTGTTGCATACCTTTATACCTTCACTCTAGGGTCCGAATAAATACGAGCAATTATTTAAACAATACAAGTAACTGATGGCGTCGCGTCGGTCCAACGGTTATTATTATCGCACTTTATAAGATTTTAAAGACAATTAAAATATTTAAAAATATTACTACATGTAAGAATAATTTACGTTGTGAAATATGTGGAAATCAAACTAGTTTGACTTTTGTCATTATATACAAAACGCCAAGTCATTCTACTTTGTAATATCAGTTCCTAAAACTTTTGTACTCGACTACACTCAACGCGTATTACTCATCACGATTGCTATATATATAGGTGTGCTATAAAATTGTTCTTATTTGTTTAGTAGAATCATTTCAACCATGAGTTTCTCAAATAAAGTGGTTATAGTGACTGGCGCTAGTTCCGGTATCGGCGCTGCTACAGCGGTGCAGTTCGCTAAAGAAGGTGCTAAGGTGGTGATAGTTGGCAGGAATGAGAGTAAGTTGAAGAACGTGGCAGAGCAATGCGCCCGCAGTGGTAACAAGCCACTTGTTGTTAAAGCTGACGTAAGTAACGATGACGAAGTTAAAAGAATCGTTACTGAAACCATCAACGAGTTTGGACAAATAGACGTTTTGGTTAACAACGCTGGCATGGCTTTCTATAGTAACATTCTAAGCGGTAATATACTTGAAGCGTATGATAAAACATTGGCTGTGAATATGCGAGCTGTTGTTCTTCTTACCAGTTTAGCTGTACCGCATCTTGTGAAAACTAAGGGAAATATTGTGAATATATCCAGTATCGCAGGGAAAAAGACAACAATGCCTGGATTATTACCATATGAAATTTCTAAAGCTGCATTAGACCATTTCACTCGTGGTGCTGCTCTTGAGCTGGCTCCTTCAGGAGTGAGAGTGAATACCGTGAGTCCTGGACCGGTGAGAACTGATTTTATAGACAATAACACAGGCAATTCAGAAATGACCTGGGATTCTGTAAGTGACACGGTTCCCCTAAAAAGAGTATCTGAGCCTGAAGAAATCGGTGAAATTATTCTATATCTAGCAAGTGAGAAGGCAAAAGGTGTAACAGGATCGGATTTCGTTTCTGATAACGGAGGTTTATTACAATTTAAAGTGTAGTAATAAATTAATTTAAATTATAATATAGTTTTATTTATACAATATTTATAACTAAGCAGTATTGTTGGGATCACTAGTATTAACAAACAAATAAAAGAATTTTTAACGCACTATAATATTGCTAGTATAAAGTAGAACTAGAAAAAAAATGTTTTATTCACTTAATATTTATAACTAAGCAGTATTGTTGGGATCACTAGTATTTTAAATGAAATGAACATATTTTTCTTTGAGCATGTAGGTAAAATATTTTTTTAAATAAATATTTTTTTAGGTTATTTAATACTAACAAACAAATAAATGAATTTTTACCGTCAATAACATTGGTAATAGAAAATAGAAATAGAAAAATAACTTATGAAAATAAACTTAATGTTTTTGAAAGTAAGTGTTTTTGAAAAGTCGATATTTTTTAAATAGTTTTATGGATTTTAATTATATGTTACGATATTGTACTATTTTATTTTAATAAATAATATAAGATAACTTACTATATAGTTATAATAAAGCAAATGTTAAATGATATAAATATATATACTCAACAATTATTTAACTGAGGTTGCCATTTTGGGAAACAATCTAAATTATTCTGAACTGTAGTTTTTCGCTACTTGTTGCCATGGTAAACAATAAACATAATCTCCATCCGTCTTTAAAATGTTTAGTTCAGAAGACAGGAACAAATCAATTCATATATATCGTGATATACATATACTATAACACAGATATTTATATATCAGCGAACCCTGATTCGTAGTGCCCATATTTTAAAATTTAATTGTATTTTATATACAGAAATAAACTAATATATCAGTTTTATATATTTACATATACTATTAATAAATAAATTACAATAATATGCAAATGTTATTTGGATGTTATGATTACCTTATATAGTCGAATAGCACACAGAGTAGAAGTACACAGAGTAAAGTAGTACACAGAGTTTTGGGTACTTCTCAAGGGCAGACTCATACGTGAGAACAATAATACATTATACATACAGGTACATTATACTTCAGCCAGAATCATTGGTAATCAACGTCTATGTGACAGACTCGACCCATTGGCTTTGCGGCGAGATATTGCATCTCTGTGCATTTTCTACCGCATATATCACGGGGAGTGTTCTGAGGAATTGTTCGGATTAATACCAGCTGCTGAGTTTCACCACCGTACCACCTGACAGAAACTGAAATACCATCCTGATCATCTGGATGAATGGCGGTCTTCCACAGTGCGGTTTTCTAGAAACTTTTTGCCTCGCACAACCACATTGTGGAATCGCCTTTCAGCAATGGTATTTCCGAACCGATACGAAATTGAAACCTTCAAGAAAAGAGCTTATTCCTTTTTAAAAGGCCGACAACGTACTTGCAATTCCCCTGGTGTTCCGGGTGCTTATGGGCGGCGGTAATCACTTACCATCAGGTGAGCCGCACGCTCGTTTGTCCCCTGTGTTATAAAAAAAAAGTACATAGACTATTGTTGTCATCATAATCAGCCCACTGAAGTCCACTGCTGGACATAGCCCTCTCTCAAGACACGCCACTGCGCACGATCTTCAGCCCTTCTCATTCAGTTACAACTCGCAACCCTACGTGTGTCGTCGCTCCTCCTAGCTGCGGGGCGTCCTACACTACATTTGCCAATTCACGGTCTCCACTCTAGAATCCGCCGACTCCAGTTATGTTGTTATATTGTTATAAATGTCGGTATATCTGTTTGTTTGTTTGTTACTATTTCACGTGAAAAGGTTGAAAGGATATTAAAGGTAAAGGGAAATTGTGTATCGTGGACTAACGTAGAATGTCTTTTGTCTAAAAGAAAAGTAATCTGTTTGCAACACTGTATTCTGTTAATAAATGAATGATTAAATTATTAAAAGTTGACTAATATAAATAGAAATAGAAATGATATTTATTCAAATAAACTTATTATAAGAAATTTTAAACAGTCATATATTTTTATTCTACCACTCATTCGGAATATCACAAGTCTCATCACAAGAAGTGCAAGGAGTCGAACCCGCGACTTTCGGAATTAAAGCGGTGTCCTAAACCGCTAGACCAACGAGGGCATAAAATAAAAAAAAAAACTTTAAGTCTTAAACTACAGATAAAAAATAGCCTAATTTTAGTCAACATTTTTTAGCTGTATATGTCATAATGTTAGATTTGTTTATATAATAACAATCTACATATATAAATAAAATTAAAGTGTCTGTTTGTAATATTGAAATAACCGTTTTTTCCTACATGTATATGAATATAATTATCGGTATGTACACCAAAATAACATTTCTTACAATTTTTGTCTGTCTGTCTGTCTGTTTGTTCCGGCTAATCTCTGAAATGGCTGGATCGATTTTGACGGAATTTTTTCGCAGGTAGCTGATGTAATATGAAGTAACTTACGCTACTTATATTTTAGAAAAATAAGTTAAATTCCACGCGGACGAAGTCGCGTATACAGCTAGTATAAATTAAAAAAGCTATTAAAATAGGGAATGGTGATAGAAGATCAAAATCCTATTTATAATTATTATAATTAAAATAATATTTCCTAAAAATAAAGAAATGAGCCAAAGAAGTCAAAGATCTAGAGTAGGAACGAAGCTGTACATACAT